CCAAAAGGGGTCTCGATACTACATTTCTTTTAGTGATGATTGTACCCAATATTGTTGGATTGATCTTCTGATACAGCGATCTGAATTTTTCTCTATCTTTGTTGTTTTTTATGCCATGATTTACACCCAATATTCTATAGTTATTAGATATTCTCGGTGTGATTTGGATGAAAAATACAAATATAATAATTTTCTTGATCAATTGAAATCTGATGGAACTATTCAATAGTCCTCTTGTATAGATACTCCTAAGCAGAATAATGTGGCTAAGCGAAAGCATAGACACATTATCAAGACTGCTCGTTCATTACTTTTATCTACCTCTGTTCCCAACTCCTTTAAGGGGGAAACAATTCTCATAACTGTTCATCTCATTAATCGGATTTCTTCTATTATTATTTCGAGTGTTTCTCCTTTTGAACGGTTTTATGGTAAAACTCCTGACTACTTCTCTTTGCGTGTCTTTGGTTGTACTTGTTTTGTTCTTCTTCGTAAAGCAGAACAAAATAAGTTATCTGCTCATTCTACTATGTGTGTTTTTTCTTGGGTATGGTGAGGGCCAAAAAAAGGTATCCCTATTATGACCCTGTTACAAAAAGATAAAGATTGTATATATCTAGACATGTGATTTTTATTGAGCACATTCCTTTCTTTTTCATTCCTACTGCTTCTAGCACATTTTATAAATTAAACCTGATTTACATTGATCCTTTCCTTGATGATATTTATGTTGATTCTTACATTCATGACATGCATACCTCTAACATTCATTATTCATCTACGTCTGATGACATGGTTCCTCCTCCTTGCTATCCAAAGCGTATTCGTAAGTGTCCTAATCGCCTTGGTTTTTCTCACACTTGTTATTCTTCTTATTTTTGTTCTTTTTTATCTTCTATCCACTCTCTGTCTAAGCCCTCCTACAACAAGTTATTCTTGATCCTATTTGACAACAGGCTATGAATGAAGAACTTTATGCACTACATAGAATTGGGACATGAGATCTTGTGTCTTTACCTACTGGTAAGCGTGTTGTTAACTGTCGATGGGTTTATAAGATAAAAACTAATGTTAATGGTTCAATTGAAAGATCTAAGGCCAAATTGGTTATCAAGGATTTTGAACAAGAATATGATATTGATTATGAGGAGACATTTGTTCTTGCTACAAAGATGACCACCGTTCATACATTGATTGTCATAGCAACAGTTCGTCAATGAAAACTATTTCAATTGGATGCCAAAAATACTTTTCTGAATGGTGATTTGGATGGTTTTAATGGCTCCTCCCCCAGGTGTCTATCACGATCTGGGCGAAGTATGCAAACTTAAAAAAGCTTTATATGGTCTCAAACTTAAAAAAGCTCCTCGGGTGTGGTTTGAAAAGTTCTCTACTATAATTTGTGTGAATTGGATTTTCATTCTAGTGATCATGATTCTGCTCTATTGGATTTTCATTCTAGTGATCATAATTCTGCTCTTTTTCTTCGGTCTACTTCTGCCGGTCAAATTGTTCTTCTCTGTGGATTGAAAAGTTCTGATTAGAATATATCATCCGACCAAAAAAGCAAGCAATAAAGTCATAAAACACTATCCAATCCTAAATTTTAGAGTAGTGGGTGTTGTTCTTAGCATCGAGATCATTGTGTCTACTGGCTTCAATTGGAGTTTAAATAGGTGTATTAACTCATAAGATGCATCCGTCCTATAAATTATCATTGTAAAGAGTATGTTATTGTTATTGACCTAAAATTGTGCTCTGATTTGTACTGATACATTCTGAAATTCCATTGAATTTTGATGAATGTTTCTGTTGAGTGTGCTCTGATCTTGATTTGTCATGTTGAAATTGCTTTTCGGAATTATTAGCATATGAATTAAGTGCACATGGCAGCTTTGTTGTGTTTGCCGAAATGTAATACTGATTCTTCCAACAAGGATATAATATGTTGGGCCATCCAGTTATATGCTGCTGATACAATCCAAAGACGAAGCCTTGAAAAATTAAACTTTTTGGTGTCATATGGTTTATAAAATGTTTTTGTGAAATAATATCTTATTCATGTGTCAGCAATTAATTATCGGATACTTGAATATTGGTTTATACCTCCTATGCTGCCCTCATTGTAATTTTTTATACTTCTTATATTATCGAACTCACCCCAACTTAATTTGTCAATTCAAATGCAGAATTATTTTGGAGAAAAAGTTAAGAGTGGTACAAAATATTTCAAGGATTCAAGATTCCTTACAATATTTGGTGCTTTGGAAAGTTGTAATTATATTATTAATAATACTAGATTTTACTGTTTCATAGAGATATTAGTGCTTCGTTTTGGTATGGAAAAAGGGAGAAATTTACTTAGTTCATGCACCAAATCCCAGGGGATCCAGGGGTTTGAGGCATGACAAAAACAGTATAAAAAAGGCATCATATGAAAAACACCATGAAGTTTACAACAAAAGACAAGGAACCATCCTGCAAAGTTGGAATTAAAAGTTGAATTGAAGCCCTAAATTTTTCCTACCACAGCGTAATGGCATACTTTTAACTCAGATAACTATTAGTGATAAGAAAATATACCTTAATATCCGGTCATTAACAGGTAGACTTTTATCCTTCAACCGAATCTTTTTCATAGCATATTGCCTTCCATCAAGCTTATTTTTGCACAACACAACATGACCAAACCCACCATGACCTGTCAGCATGTGTTGAAACGTTAGCTAGAGCAAGTAACCAGCATATTTAACTTCTACTAGAAAAACTATTATTGACCATAAAATCCTCCAATAACGACACCATCGTTTGCTTGGATGTAAATCTCTCCATAGTTTGATCCATACGTATATACGACTAGAGAGTGAAAGAAAGATCTTGAAATGATACCCCTCATGATTGATTTTTGGTGGCTTAAGGTCATGACAGGTTGAGGGATATGAGTATAAAGGAATATTGAAGGCTTTTTGGAGAAATTAATAGGTGAGAATTGACTCAGGTTTAAACGTGGTAGGTTTCCGGATGATGGGTTAAAATTTTGGACAGCAACTATGAAAAAGATAAGCTAAGATTCTGGACAGCAACTATATATTGTTCTGTCAAAGATGTGCCGAAATTCCTGGAAGAAGTCTATGGTGTTGAAGGTCAACTCAAAGGCCAAATAGTTTGAAGATGGTTTTGGACAAATCAGGGAACCTATGAAGCACGGACACTCTCGAGAAGGTGACGTATCTGTGTCAAACACAGATACTCTTCGGACATTCTTAGACACATGTCCGATACTCTTCTATCCATGTTCGTAATTAAATAATAAAATTTTAATTTCAGACACGTGTCCGACACTTTTTTGGTGTTTTATCAGTATCTATAATTAAATGATAAAATTTTAATTTCAGACATGTGTCCAACACTTCTATAGAACGTGTCTACTACCAAACAAACCTTTGTTGAAATGTGACTAATAAAGTTTAAAAATTTGAGAACATATAATTACTAACACTAGATATGTTAAAATTATACTCCAAATATAATAATAAAAACAAAGATGCATAAAAATTTTAAAAAAAAAAGGAAGAATTGAGAAAATGAGAGTAGTTATTTAAATTATATATTAAGTAAACATTGTCTACAAAAAAAAATTGATGATTATTGATTATTATGATGATATTTTAGTCTAAAAATTCACACAGATGACTACACATAAGATTTACATACCATAAAATACTAAATCGTTTATGAATTGCATATTATTATCACTATATTTGCAATAAATTATTTAATGTTATATACATAATATAATTTTTTGTAGCTTATCTCCGTCGTGTTCGTGTCCAACTTCTTTGAGAAATGTCGTGTCTACGTCTCCATATCGTGTCGTATCCATATTTCGTGCCCGTGTCCGTGTCTGTACTTCTTAGCCGGGCACAATAGGGTAGCTTGCGAGGAGTGCCATAGTTCTTTTGGACCTAGGACTCTAACTAAAGAATAGTTACAAAGAAAAACTATTATCTTTTGACGTTGAATCTTTATGCTTCACCCTCACAAGCTTAGTTAATAACACTCAAACAGATACTTGAGTTCTCAAACCCAGCTTCTTATAAACTGGAATTTACCCTATGTTTGTAGGCATCTTGACTCCCAACTCCACTAGAAGTAAGACCCCAAATAAGAAACTGAGAAACTTAGACTAGCTTGTGTATTCTATACCTAATAAATCCGTAGAGAAGACCTCATAGCATAACCTATGATAAAACCTACAGCATAGTTGCAACAGCCCATGGTAGCAAAACATGAAGTTCCCAAAATACCCTTTTGACTTCAAAAACATAATAGAGCTATTTCAAAAACAAATAAACCAAAAAAAACAATAAAAAAAGACTAATTTTGCTCACTTCTAATTTACAAAATGTTCAAATCAGACACCTCGTGGAGTTCTTAAATTTGATCCTTATGATAATGTTCATCATTCTACGCCGCAGTGAACATGATCTTGAGTTTTGTCACATCCTAGTAGACTGATCAAATCACACTGTTCTGGTAGCTTGCAAATTGGACAAATCTAGATACTGTCGAAAAGAGTAAACTTCAGCCTTCTCATTCCTCAATAGAAATCCCTTGTCCTTATAGTGTTTAAAACATAATATAACAATATAACCTTTTATTTCCTTGACGTCATCATCCTCGTGTTCATTAAGATTTAGAGGATTCTGATGCCTAAAAAAAATTGTCAGCAAGACACTTGGAATACCAATTGCCACGACCTCCAAATCAGTCTTCTTTTGAGCCAGCAAAGCTCAAAACCTTAACACTTCAATAAAATCAGCTAGTCAATCAGTTAACACGAACTTCTATTTTTGTCCTTGCCCTCTTGAACTAATTATCGCAACCTTATACCTTAATCGGCCTTTGTCACCGTTGCAGGAAAACTACTTATTATCACAAAACTAATGGAGAATAAAAAAGATTTTGAAGAAAGATCCTTTAGCTGTTGTGGAAAGGGGTCACTCTAAGTTAGGTTTCCTGACCTCCTCCTGTAAGATGAAGGGCCAAAGGTTTCTAACTACATATCCTTTGCAAGAGACAGAGATTTTGGCCATCCCTTGTTCAGAAGATGGAAGTTGCAATCCTAGGTTCAGAAGCTGGTCTCTGGAAGTTATATTGACCACTGAAACCCAAGAAACAGACGCACCATCATTGCCAACAAGTGTCGTATGGGCAGGAAGTGAGAATATTACAGTACACCATCAACTCTCACATCATGAAGTGACATGGGGGTTGGGGGAGCACATTGTCTGGGATAGAGTGGGTGATGCCAAGATAAATGTAAGAGGTATAAGAAAGCTGCTTTAGAAGCAATCTAATTCAACCCCACTTTCACTTAAGTTGACCGTTTTAAGGAGGAAACGTGGCATCTATCAAGGGGATGGAGCCCGCCCCCAACCCCCCCCCCCCCCCAAGGGGCATAATCTCCATTTATGTTTATTGGATATTCTTTGATTTTTGTCTTAATTAGCTCCTCTTGGGGGCTACATTTTCTTTTGTTAAATTGTTAGGAGTGTTTATGTTATATTATAGGAACTTACTCGAATATATTTATTAGGTGTTCCTTGTAATGCATGAATCCCCCACCCCCCAAAAAAAAAAAAAAAACCGGGGGTGTCCTCAATGGTATGATACTAATAAAAAAAACTGATTGCCTGATGACCAACCAAAGTGAAGCCATTGATTTCCAGGCTGTTATGCTTTGAGGAAAAGGAGCCTTGAGATTTGAAACACACAAAAATCAAACAATAACTCATTTCCATAAAGCAACGTGCTTATTCTCTTTTGAATCCATTAACCGCAATAATTTTTGGTAAATGCCTCCAACTTTGAAGGATTCCAAATAAAGGGCAGGTGAAATCGTTTCCTCTTTTCCACAATCTACCATAATCGGAGAAGGAAAACACTAACTTCTCGTAGGCCTTATGCTGAGACAGAATCTTCAACTCAGGGATCTGCTTAATGAAAGATATATTAAAAGTAGCGATAATTATGGGGGAAAAAAGGTTTTCATTTCTGGAATGCAAAATCAATTAGCTTAAGGTAGAGAGAGTAAGGCAGCATCAAGGGGGTAAGGATCATAGGGTACAGTTACAGCGCTAACCACTGAATTAAACAAAATACAATCAAAGAAGCAAGCAAGCAATGTCTCCAACCACTAAAGTGCTTCCACAAGATAAACACAAGGAGGTACATTTATTATATGCAAGACTATGGATATTTCACGTAGAAGCTTCCTTACTGAACCCTGTGATACCCAAACAATAGTTCTAGGTGGAAGTTCTAGCAAACAAGAACTTTCCAAACTCTACACAAGACCCAACTTGACCCAAACAACAATAAGGGGCAACCAAATACCTAAATATTGGATAACCAGCCATCAAAATTACCCCTAATTTTACTTAATTAGTTTACAACTGAACAATTTTGAAGGGTAATCCAATTAAGTAGTCGAATGTGTGTAACTCTGAGATACACATGTTACTAGGGCTGGGTAACTGTCCATATGAACCTATGACAGAGCATCTATAGAGGAAATTTCCTTTACATAATCATTTTATTGTCCAACCATTTTTGTTTTGAACCACTTACATCAGAAATATCCAAAAAAAATTACAACAGAACAGGAGAAATTTTGATGCCTAATCTGAAGAACTAAAAGCTATAACACCATGTCATAGTGTGAGAAACTAATATCAAAATTATGTTGTACTTTTTTTTTTTTGTGAAAGATAGAATTTCCAATAAGAAAGATGTGCAAGTGAAACAAGTAGCAGAGGATCTTCTCTCACCAAGGGGTTGGAGCTCCTCGAAGTCATTTAAATATCGAGAACTAGGAGTAGATGAAGAATTCTGCCCTTCGAAATCAGAAGCAGTTTTCCAAAACTGAGAGACCTTCGATGAAATCTATTTAATGAAAATAAATAGTGGCGTCAATTAATGGAAAGCATATTCTAGAAAAAGACTAAACATAGGCAAGAAAACAGAACAAATAACCCACCATATGTTGCCTAACAACCTGATCAAATCTCTTGTCAAAAAGTGCTGATGGTTTGGTAGCCAAATCTCGCACCCGCTCTGAAATGATCTGAACAAAAGCAGTCAGTATAGTAAGTTTAGTTAAAATCCAATTAGCAAGAGAGATTAACTTAAACCAGCATTGGTGAGTTACATACGCCCAGGCTGTGCAGCTCTGATGTTATTTCTGGCAAGGCATCAGCTAATTGTCCTTTAGGAGCGCAAGCAAGGCGAAGAAGGTGAGCCTAAAGAAAGCAAAATTCAGCCCTTTTTTATTTGTTCCAGAAAACTCAGCTCATATTGATGAAGTTTTACAAAAATTGGGTAATGCCAAATGAGACAAAAGATGAGAAAACTACCAAAATTAGATCTCTTTCCATAGTCTGAGATAAGTGATTGTGAATCACAGAGTCGGAAGAGACCAACTGTGAAGGCTCACTATCTACATCACCATCGTCAGTTTCCGAAAGATGCTCTACCAGAATAAATTCCTGAAACATATTGCAATGATACAGGTGGTGGGAATGAAAAAAACATTTCCAAAAGTCAAAAGATCCACAAGATAACAAACCAAAAAGCAAAATAGAAATCAAAGATGATCAACAAGAGAAGGCTGGCTGAATCTCTTTAAAAATTTGAGGCTTAGAAACATTGACCTTCCTTGAGAATATTATGATATGATACATACTGTTAAGTTTGCAACTATTTGGGGTTGATTTCTCTAATTCAAACCAATGCGGAGAAAAATCAATTCACGTTTGTGCCATTTAGTTCCACAGCTTCAGGTTTGACCCTTCTCTGTAATTTCCTACTTTTCATAAGGCCTTCATTGCTTGAAATAGTCAGTATCTCTTAAATTACTGACTATTCTAAGTAATGAGCCACATCAGTAGATGTGATTCATTAGAGCCTGAGCAACTCAAGGTCCCAGCTTTTCTGGATTGGATCCATCTATATTGGTTTCATACTGATCATCTAGAGCTTTTACCATCCTTAAAAGTTTAGTTTGTGCTTTTATGTTGACCACTCTTTTTTAAACTCCTTGGGCAGTTGAGCCTGTTTTCATGGATCTGATATGCCCAACAACAGGAGTGTAAACCCAAGTGTTTTGCCTTATAACTTAACTGTATGCCTAGCTAGGTTACGAAGCTCCAACTTAGGTTGATAAGGGAATGGTTTGGGTAGGATCGATTGGGGAACTAAATATCCCTTGATATAGATTTTGCGAAAACTTGGGGGATAGAAGTGAAATTAAGCTAGGAATGTGAAAAGTCATCGATCTAGACGTTTTGGATTAAAATAACATCGTTAATGAATTTGGAGGTCGAAGAACCTTGGAATAGATTAGTGGTGTGCATGGTTACCATGAGGGGTAAAATGGTAAATTTGACATCTCAGACATAATCCGGCTTGGGATCTGAGGTGAGGCAGATATCTAAGTGTTTTAAGGTTGAAATAGCATTAGAAATGGATCCGGAATGTCGAAAAACACTAGGATAAACCTTGGAGTTGAATTAGAAGTTCTAAAAGTAAAACGGTAATTTCGCAGCCAAGAGTGTTGACAAAATGGACTTTGGGCAGAGTTTTGCTGGTCAACCGGATTAGGAATTGATCAAGTGGCTATGCCTACTGTTTGTGTTTTTCACCGCCACCGCACCTTTTTTCACCCCTACTATACAAAACACGTATACAGGGATGCGTTGCACCTACGGGAGATTCACAAGCACCTCAATTAGTAAAACATACGCGAGAGAGAGAGAGAGAGAATAAAAATGAAGTTTTACCAATCCGAAGTTCATTTAAACCGATCTACAGTTACTTGGTGTATTTCACTTCAAAGGTAGGTTTTTTTTCCTAATTCATTATTAATGATGAATATCATGCTTATTTTGGGATACCATGTCAAACCCATGTTGATTATATGAGAAACATATATATTTCATTTCATTAGCAGGTTAAATCAGGTAACTTCTGATATGTAAACCTTGGTTTGAATATTCGGAGTTTGATTTTGGTTTATCAGAAACTATGACTTCTGGCCAAATCTGGAAACTTGGATGCACAGGATTGATGGTGGCAGGTTTGTAGATGTTGTGGCCCATGCGAGGATGAACGGAATTCCTACAAATCCTTGGGAACATTGGTTAGTGGTATCAGATACTGTTGGTTGCCAGTGTGGTGCCACAGAATTCCTAGTATTAGTTTTCTCAAAAAAAAAAAAAGAATTGCACCATGTACCTACAGTGGAAGGCCCAAAGCTCCCCAAGATAGTCCATGTGTGGCCTAATATTTGATATGGTTATCATTGTTACTATTGATTGCATTCTAGAGCTTAAGATTTATATTTACCGTAATCGTTAAGATTTTGATATACAAATGCATATCATGTTGGATGTTGCATTACTATCTTTCCAAGTAAATGGTTAGAAATGTTGTTACATTTCATTTACAAAATATATACATATATTTATTGTTTCAAAACCTTAGTAGTGCTTGAGAAAAGCTATCGTACCTAGGCTAGTTGAGCTCACCCCTAGTTAATATTTTTTAGCAACGAAATAGGAGACTGGCATGGTTATCAAAATGTTGATCTGGAACTTAAGATCTTACAATCCAGCAATCCGAAACAGACAATCAATCCGCGTCTCTTGTAGAATCCCAAATTGATAGGATCTTAATGAATCGTAATCCAAATATTATAGAATCATAAAATTTTGGTCGGAATTGCAATTTTATTGATTTAAGTCGTTGAATTTTTTTGTTAGACACATTTAGTTATTAAGCTGACTCAGTTCATATTTATTGTGTTAATACTTAAAGACTGAATGCAATGTCTCGTATGATTGTCAATTTAGTAGGGAATTTCGATGGATGCAGAAAGCTCATTTTGCTACAGAAAGCTCCCTTAATTGCTAAATAGTCTTCCATTTTCCGTCTCTTTTTTATTTAGATGTCGAACCGTTAAAAGTTGTTTATTCAACAGTATCCAATTTTTCCAATCTCTCCTCTATATCCATCTCTCTCTAAAAGTTAAGATCAACCTACTTCAATTATCTTTAACCATCTTCAATGCACTAAAGTTTCTCAAATTCTATTCCTATCTCTAAGTTTTATGTTTTTATAACACTTCGATCTTGCATGTATGCTAGGCTTGCATGTATTCCTTCTCTTTTTTTCAATTTTTAGGATCTTATGATTCTCGATCCGATCCTACGATACCGATCCTATGGACTTCCCATCGCCGATTTTAAAAACCTTGAAGATGAGCCGAGGTTAATTTCCTCTTTTATTGCTTAGTTATTATGTTTTGTGAGTTAACAATTGTACAAAATTCTACTTACATTTGTCTCGGCTGCTATTTCCTTAGACATTTGGGTTTGTAAACTTCAAACTAGGATAATGGTTGTTGTGGGAGTTAGTTGGATTATGCTTTGGGTTGAACTAAGTTGTGGCTTGGATATGCAGTTATGTGTATGAATGTTAGACGTTTGCTATCACAGATTATGCTCTTACCATCAATCATGTTCATTGCATTTGATTTCTTTAAAGAAAGCTTCATAGGGATTTTGATCATGGATTTTTCCTTAAATTTAAAGCAATATTTTCCCAAGGTTTTTCTATAATTATGAACCCGGTGAATATTTTCACTTGATAATTCATTTTTTATGATAATCACGCCTTTTTTAAAAAAGGGGGCATGACAAGGAGAGTCAATGAGATCAAACATTAAGTTTGGCACATCTCTAAGATGTGTTTCTGTTACATTTTATTAGACATCATCTTATAAATCGGCCAGCAACTCCAATAAAGTGGCCAGGTTAGGATGGTACTAAGTGGAAATTGCATCATGGCAATTGTTGCAACATCAATACTCACATTTATTCAATTCCAGTTTCACTACACACAATAACTGGAGAGATTTGAGAAATTCTCGACGAGGCGTAATGAAAATTGCCATTCCCAGCTCACGCTTTTGGATTCTGGTACAGCAAGGTACGGAGGAATATCGTACCATATGTGATTGATATTTAGCGTTATCACCACAGATAAATCTTTTCTTTCTTTCTTTCTTTTTTTTTATAATAATCTTTTTCTTTCTTTTTAATTGTGTATTTTGACTGACAATTATCTTTGCACAGAGGGAGTCAAGATGACCCGAGCAAAATTTTATTTGACTGTATTCAATGATCTTCTAAATCCATATCAACCATACTAAACTTCTTCAATGGCAACTTTTCACTTTCAACTATTTAAGAAATTCGAAACAGGTGAGAAATGTTAGGCTTTGTAATGAAGATCTGCCAAAGAGGTACTAACCTCAATGCAGCCATCACCTACTCCATAGGTTCTGTCACCAATCATGCTTTTCTTATGGCCATTTGGCTTGAATCCCAGGATCAATTTGCATCAAGCAACTACCCATCCTTCAGGTGCTAGGCAGCCTTTGCTCCTGCTATGCTAGCTTCCTGAGATATTGTTGGGTGTTCTTAACACTCAGGGTGTGATCCTAGTACGCAAAATAACATCTCATCTTCTACATTTTTCTCATTGCACAATGCTCATTGTTACATTCATAACGATCAATTGCATCACATATTTAATATATTACCACCCGACCTCACAACTCATGTTAATTTGTCCATATACTATGTGAAGCAGTAATAACTGTCAAACATTTATTGAAAACAAAGTATGAGCTGGAATATAAAACAAAGAAAAACTAACCTAAGATGTTAATTAATTAAAAAAATTATGAATGTTTGACCCAAAAGCTTGAGCTAGTCAGGATGGGCCTGACAAATTAAATCAAGAGCTCACATAAAGCAAGTTGAATATTTATGACACTAAAATAATTCTATAAATAAGGGGAAAGAATGTGAGTATGGCCTGCAAGCAAAATAGGGACACAAATAAACATCTGCATGATCATATGCTGAAAAGGAAAGATACGACAATTCCTAATATGCTCAAATCCAGACAAGAGAATGTTCCGTTACCGTTACCTTGTCAACTGTACCGTCTCCACTTGATTCTTCTGATAATGATCTACTCAAATTAGTATCCTTACTGGCATCATCACTCTCTTCTTCAAGAGTATCTAATTTTGCTGCAGGGTAAAGGAGAGGACCTTGCTTAGTATCCTGAATCACCGCCACATTCACATTCTGGTCAATTTTTTTCTTTTGAATCTCAGAGTGATGCTTGGAAACATTTAATGTGTGCGAATGTGCTGAAGAATTTAACTCGGCCCTCTCTTCCATTCCAAGGCCCCACTGCCATGACTCCCCAGAGCCAGTAAAAAGATCTATGAAACCATAAACAAAGGGCCCTCTAGAAAAGCATGTCTTGTTACATGGAAGTGTCACATCCTTCTGAGACAACTGGCCGCTCAAATCAGTTGCCTGACCCGGAACCTTCCAGAAAGAAATGCAAAACATCAAGCAGTAAGCAGCCATTCGTCCAGTACCAAGCAGAAGGCAAAATACCACTAAGCGAAAATGTAACGACATAAACCAAAGCCCCAGGAACTGGAAGCATGATAAGTAAGCAGTCATCAACTTCATGGCAAGCAGACTTATTTAATACCAAGTTCATCATCAAAATAATGTAAAGTTCCTGTATGCTACACTTGACCATTCCAAAACAAGATGCCCAGTGTGTCCGCATGAGTGAGTGCATATAGGTGAGATATTATGCCAATCTAAAGCAACATACCATTGGGCGAACCAAAAAACCATGCTTGACAATGTTTGTTTTGTTTATGAGACTGCCAAAAATGAAGGGCAAAGCCAAATACTAGAAGAAGGAAGTATTTGGCAAGGAAACCGCATGTGTAAGCGTGCGCACCACCAACTCTCAAGAGTAGAAAAAGATGATGAAGGAAAGTACGACAAACAAAAAATTCATAATCCAGAAACTGAGAAAAAGGATGAGAGAAAAGTTTCCATAAAATAAGAAATGCTTTGAATCTTTGAAGGTATTTAATCATAAAGCCTCTACTTATGCACTTTCAGAGCAAAGCTATGCAGATAAGAAAATTGTCTCTTCCAATTAAGGGGAAAAAAATCATTAGGACATTCAAGAAAAGCCATCATGAGGGGAAGCTATAATCACTACTTGGGCTTTATCACATGGGAATTAAAAATGATATAATCGCAACAAGCACCCAACAATCTACTTCAGCGAATGTAAGTCAAACACAACTGAGCGCGTAAAATCAAAATGTAGTGTTACAACAGCAATATCACATAAAATCTGGAAAAAAGACCAATTAATATCCAACTGCAGCTCAGCATTGTCAAGATTTATATGTTGATATCAAGGGATATGTTAGAAAGCTAAAATCACAAAGTAGACACATATAAACAGATCATAAGCCACACACGTGGTAGACTGAACGCCAAGAAATAAATGAAACAGAGAAACTAAATTGACTTGAATATAGCATAAGCCACACATGTGATAAAAGGTCAATCACAACATTGCAGAGTTGTTTCTTATTAAACACGCATTCATAAAACTCATTTCGTTTTCAATTTTTGCCATTGTTATCAAGATTTGGATGTTTATTTCTTGAGGTATGTTAGAATCCTAAATCATCTAGAAGGAAACATATAAAAAGATCATAAACCAGTAAACCACACACATGGTGGATTAAACAGTGAAAGTAAATGGATAACTAATTTGGTCCCAAGCATATCAAAAGCCACACAAGTGGTAACAGATCAGTCACAACGCAGCAGAGTTCACTCACAAAGCTCATTCCCCTTTTTTGTGCCATTTTGCTGATTCACTAAACTCATCACATATGTACGTATAGATATCCAACTTAACTTAGACTTGAATTCCAAATAAGTAGGGTTGGCATCTATGAAATACAGATACTTCGTCAAGATCAACATACCCATATCAGATACGATACTCGTCAAATGCTCGAGGATATGTATCGGATACAAATCATACGTATCCGATTATTAATAAAATATGTTGATACTTTTGTGGATACTTCTACGCACGGAGCAAGATGTACAATTTTTAATTTTAATATATAACATTTCCTTTCGAGTTTACATACGATACAAAACACTAGCAAAATTTTAACTTTGAAAACGTGAGTGCTTTTAAGTATTATCTACTCTAACATGTCAAAAAAGTATAAAAAAATGAGTTAGTTACACTATAACTTTTGAAACAAATATTTATAAGCAAACTGACTAGTTAAATGTTGGTTCTGATTCCTTTAATTGGTCACATTCACTTTATGGATATATCATAAAAAGACGATATTACACATTTGAGGTAAAAATTGCTAATTTTGTTTACTATTGTTAAAAATTACTAAAAATTGTAAGTTTTAAGTTGTTCAATAATGATAAAATATAAAATATATTTTATTGTAAACGTATCCCGGCCGTACCCTTATCTTTTTTTTTTTAAGGTTTTTGTCATATCACCGTATTCGTATCGTGTCCGTGTCCGTACTTCCTAGGTTGGCATATGAGTTTTTTGTCATCCAACTCTTTCAGGGCACAATAGTTTTGCCACCCCTTCCTCAATAATTACTATAACACCTGTTTTTTCAATTATTTTGCTGCACAAAGAAACACTATAACAGTTGAATAATGATCCATCCAACCATAATGAGTTTTGGAGTAAATTATTTTTTTCCCAACAAGCATTGCCACCCTCTGTCTACACGATATCTATCACTCATTGCAATCATTTTTAGCGACCTCTTGCTTCTCATAAAAGCATCCAATTTTTTACTTAATTTTTTTTCTATTCTACATACATAGTTACACTTAGTACTATAAAATCTATCTCTTCTTCAATTTTTTGATAAGAACGAGAAGTTTAACAGAATGAAGCACAGTTGTCCATTCTCCAGGTGTGCTTATAAATTTTCCTTCAACTTGAGTCAAGATATTTATGTTGAAACTGGCACATGTCCACAAGTCAATCTAAATAAAGAATGTGCAATTTATTTCCAATGATTGGGTGAAAGTGCCACAGATATGCAACAAAAATTGAAATAGAAAGAACCTATTCAACCTTTTCAAAGAGGAAATGCAACTAGTTACAACATGTACCCACCACAAAAAGAAAATCATTGGGAAAGATTACTCATTACCGAGTGCGTAATCTTAAACCCATAACCTCATCATTGAGTCAGGTTGACAGGACTCAATGGCTAGTCAATCATTATGTCATGAACATATTGATGATAGCATACTTAAGAATAATGATAAAATATCTAGTGGTACCAAGTACTCCATCAATGTCTATCTAGAGCTAAGAGAGGGATACCATAGCTTCATGTGCCATGACTAGAAAAGATTTATAAAACTTTTATCTTGCTCCTTGGATCTTGCAATTGTGACACAACATGGCATTGGGTATAAGTGGCCAACTCCTGCATATAATGGCATATCTTTAATGAATTAATCACTCCATCCCCAGCGAATCACCCATTCTCAACATTTGTACCTGTCTAGCCCGATAATTGTTGTAGGCTATATAAGTTCTCCAAAAAATAAGTAGCACAAGACAAAAAATAAGGTGGTGTTTGGTTTGTGTCTCCTCAAAATCAGGATTTTGTTCTCAAAACACAAAATCTTGTGAGATGCTATTTGGTTAGCATTTTCCAAAAACAAATTTTCAAAAAAAGTGAAAAATGAGAACAAAAAATAGATAAACAAAAATTACATGTTTTTCCATCTTTCAAACAAGATTTTAGAAAAGTTTGAAAACACGGAGAACACATGGGAGTCTTTAATGAGGTCTAGACATCGATCTTTGTTGGAAACATTTCTACCATTTAGTGACTTCAGTCCCTCATCTCTCATTCAGTCCCCAGTTCAGTGCCTCACCTCTCTCATAGCAACTCATCTCCTCTCTCTCTCTCAACTCCTCTCTATTCCCTCCCACAACTCTCCCTCTCTGCCTGAGCTTAACTGTGAAGCTTTAATCTTCGAATCTAGTAAATAGATCTATTATATCTATTTAGAAATAGTTCATCCCTGTGTTTATATCAAGTAGATCTATATCTACTTAGATATAGTGTGTGTGTGTATATACACACACAGACTGTTTTAGATCTCTCTCACATACACTGTAAAAGTTGGAGCAATGGCGGATTGGGTGTATTGGATTTTTTGTGTGTTGTATAGGTTGAGATTGAAAGGAGATAATGGAGAGAGAGACAGGAAAGATAGAGTGAGATAGGAATGGAGATGAAATTGGGGGGTTTATGGATTATTGTCCAAATAGGTTCTTAATTTTTTGTTTTTTAAACTTATTTTCAAAAAAATATAACCAAACAAGTTTTACAATATAAAAATATCAAAACACACTTTTTTAAAATTCTTCTCAAAAACTGTTTTCGAATACTATTTTTTGAGATGTAAACCAAACAGACTATAATATTTTGGTTCAAACCCAAACAAAAAAAAAAAGGGACAACAGACTTGTGGCCGATAAACACCCAATCCATGTCAAAAAGAGAAAAGAGCGTCAGGAGCTTTCTCTTTTTTTTTGGCTCAATGTTCACGGGTGTCCAGACCAGCTTACGCACACCTCAAATAATCCCCTCCCAAGTCCGATCAAGGGTAGGACATTCACGTCGAGACTAGAATATTCATGAGGAATAAATTCTTCATAACTTGACGTTGCAAAAATTCAAACTTAGGACGTCTGAGTTTACAGCTCGTTCGTATAACCACTTGACCTACCCCTTCGGTTTACGTCGGGAACTTTCTCCTCCAACATAGCATCTTCTAATAATAAGGTCTAAAAAAGAATTTTCTCCCCAGATACATCAATGAATCAACAATTAAAATCCCATGTACCAGATTTTTTATTTGTGAAGCATTAATATATCAAACAAAGACATCCGTCGATGCCCTCATGCCCCTCAACATCCCTATATCAATTGATATAACAAAAACACATAGATGAGTAGCAGAGCTTACAGATACTTGCAACTGTCCCAGTGGAACAACTTCAGACAAAAATTCTTGAGCAGCCTCCACCAAACTGTATATCATTACTCGTCCTTCTCGAGCATTAGAATTAGCCTGAAATGGTTATCAATTGAAAAATCACTAACTTAACAAAAAGGAACAAAAAAGATATAATTGTATGCGCATTTCAAGTGCATGAAAATTAAAAAACAAAAACAAAAACAAAAAAAAAAATTCTCCATGCATATTGGTAAGGCCAACGCCCATAATTAAACAAGAACCATGATCCACCTCAGTCGTGAAAAAAGTAATACAGGGAGGGTAAATAGGACTGAGATTAATTTTTGTACTTTGACCTGATCTCAGTCTTCCTTTGTCACTTTTAAACTCATAATCACGAAAGGTCATTTTGGTCATGCAGCTCAAGGCCACTCACTTCAATAAATATGTTCATTTCAACTGTGAGTAGTAGTGATAAACCAAGTAAACCATAGGTTGATTTATTACAGCAGTGAGCAGAAACTGTGTTTCTGCAGTGAAACACAGTCTCACCCCAAGTCGGCTACCGCCTACAGCAGAATCACCCAATCTGTCTCGGATACTGTTTGGCTTCAGTTCCATTCACTTATTCTTCGGTGTCCAAAACAACGTGCACCCCATCATATTCATGTGTCCAAAAATAGATTCAATTATGAATAGAAATAAGGATTAAAAACTTTCATTCAATCTATCAAAATCAAATTGAAGTACATGATACAAGTTAAATACAAGCATTTCATTTTGAATGAAGCTCATTCCATACATGCTTGAAGAAGATAAACAATGAAGAACAAAGCAACACTACAAAATGTAGTGGTTTAGATGGCCTAAATAGACTCTTCCCAATACCTAGTTGGGGATCACTTCACTGAATGGGATTGTGAGAAAACCTCAACTAACCTTGTGGGTTACAAGCAATCAATCCAGTAGCCAAACAAGAAGTTCCTTTTTTTTCTATAAAAGAAGAACTTTATTAAGATTTAGAAGAGATAAAAAATGCAATATGAAGGATAAGATATCCTCACAAAGAAAGAACCAAAATCCCTAAAAGAAAAAAACAGTAAACCAGACCGGCTTTCCAATCCCTTTGAAGATCCGACAAGGTAAACCTCTGAACTTTCCAGCAGCCTTAGACCATAAAGAGGCGTGAAAAACAATTCTTTCCCAAATCAAATGCAATGTAAGGAATCTATCCAAATATTCCAAAAAATTGCCATCAAAGCCCAACCTCACAAAATCTTGTCTTCTTAACTCCACAAATTAAAAGTTCCTTTACATAGGATTTTCAAAGATTTTCTACGTTCAGACAGCCGCGACATTTTAAAGCCCTAACAAAATACCAAGCTAGGGTTTGGTGAAGATTTACCTACGGTCACAACCTACCACTTCCTCAAACCATCACACTCAATATTAATGTCTTATAGGCAAATCTCATATCATTGCTCCTAAATGTGCAAGATCAAGTACTGTGGCATAGAATGTGTCTTACATATACCCATAGAAAGAATTAACCTTTGATGGCATGGACAAGTCGGAGAGTGATTTCTTCAAAGTTTATTGCAAATCATCCTTTGGATGGACGGGGGAGAGAGAGAAGGTTCAAAGTTCAGGAAAACCTTTCAAACGCCATAGGAATGATCTGTAGTAAGTATAGGAATAAATAGTCTCAAAATCCATCAAGGAAATCCAAGAAAATCTGACTTGGATATTTGTAGAACAAGGTGCAATGGCTAGCTTATAGCTAGTTTATCAAACTATTAGAACCAGTCAACTGGGTATTGTGCCAGAAGAGTAGCCCCGGTGATGGAGCACAAAAGAGGTACAAATCAGAGAATAGAAAAGAATAAAAAGACATACCTAACCCTCGCAAAGATTAGATCAAGAAACACCCAAATTCTCCATATAGAACAATTTCATTAATACTGCACTCTATCAAAATAATAGATTAAGTCTCCTACCAAAATAAAAATTACTCTCCTAAAAAGCTTTATAGTCAAAATCTCAAATTCCTATCCAACTAAAACTCTAATAATTCTCTAATCAAACTCTCACAAATAATCCTACTCAAACGTCACTCCTAAATTAAATAATAATAAAACAAATCCTAATAAACTATCAATTACACTTCTATTTGAACCAAAAATTTCTAGTATTTTGTCTAGCCTTCCAAAATCGATTGTATTGGTCCAACCAATCAATGGTCGTGCCATCAACTCTCTCCCTCCGAAAAGAACTCGACTCCGAATAAGGAGGAGAGCCAAGAATACCATTTGATCGAGAAACTATGAATCAATAAAGAACTCTTTTGCAATTGTAATGTGCAGACATCTGTACAACAAGAGTATATTTGTTTTCCTACAATAACAAAAGAATAAGTATTAGCACGTCCAGTATGTTGCGCATCACGATTCCATATCCAAGTGTGCCCTAAAAGTATGTGACAAAACTTGAGGCAATACATCAACCCAACATTGTCTCCTTAAGGTTCCAATGATTAATATTATCAGACATCTCTTATGAACTATTAGCTTGGTATTAGTAATTCATGCCACGTGATATGGTTCCAGATATGGTTCAACTTTCAAATTAAATTTCTTCACAACCTCTTTCAATACCACATTTGACTTCCAGTGTTAATCATTATAAACATAATTGTCCATCATAGTTAACTATGTCTGAAAGATTTTTCCTCAATAAATAAACTCACCATTAGCAACTTCTTTATTAGCAATAAATAAAGGTCGAAAAACACCACAAGATGATCATCATCTAAATCATCAAAATTAACTTCACCTATATCAAGAGGTTCTACAATTTCTGTATCAAATTCTGGCCCATCAAAGTCTTTATTCATCTGGAGATTTTCCTTTTCAACTACAACAACTGATTTTATTGGGCATTGAAAAGATAGATGACCAAAACCATGGCAATCAAAGCATCTCATCTTAAGATTAGCACTCTCTTGAGAAAAAGTAGCACTAATTCGAGATGGTTTGTTTGGAATAAAAGTACTCTCTTGAGGTTAATTGGTGGACTTACCTTGACTTGTATCTATGACAGTTCCCTCACTTCGCGTTGTAGGTGTCATAGAATATCTCATAGAAACTCTCTTTTTCAGCTTATCTTTCATCTGATAGGCAACTTGAACTGCATCTGTCAGGGTACAAAGTCTACTTGCAGCTAAGCCCATTGAAATATGTGAATTGAAACCTTGTCTATACATGGTAATCATCACATCCTCAAACTATGGGAACTCTGATTAGGTGGCCAAGTTGTAGAATGTTCCTGTGTACTCCTCAACAAATGTGGTTCCCTGATTTAACTGTGTGAACTATAGATGAGCTCATTGCTTATAATTAGCAAGCACAAAGTAACAAGTCATAGCAATCTTCATGCCATCCCATGATCCATCAAAGTGAATTTGTTTCTACTTTACCCACCAAAGCCTTACAATACCCTTCAATTTAGACTCTCCAAGAAAATATTTCTCTCATCTGTTAGACGATACCATCTAAAGAAGCCCTCGAGGCTATGTAACCAATCAAGGAATACCTCAAGGTTATTATCCCTATGAAAATCTTCAACCTCTAACTTAACTCCTCGCTAAACATCTATATAATAAAACAGGAGTGTGTTTGAATTTTATCCCAGTCATTTTTTCCCTCAAAACCATCACCAATCATTTATCTCACCCATCATCCCTTTGTCAGACTCAAACGTCAAATCACATCACTCATTTTTATCACATATTTAATCATTTATATATTTTCTCCCTAAAAATATCATACCACTCATTTATATCATATATTTAATCATTTAATATTTAATTAATTTGTAGTTAATATATTTTAAAAAAATTTATTATAGTGGGATCGATTTTTTGACGCTCGAATTTTAAATTTTATCGTGCCTTCAGGCACGGGTTATGACTAATCAAACAATATGTGATCTTCTCAAATCAAAGCTTGGGCAACAACTTGTAGATGATTGATAGCTGAAGATGAATCAATATCTACATTTTGGGTGCCAAAGTGTAATTTTCAGAAACTTTGGGATAGAAACTGAAATTTCTAGTGTCAAAATTATAATTACAGAAAATTTTGGGGGTTTGTGTAATTTCAGAGTTTTTTTTTTTTTGGAGGGGGGGATCTAAAATTGTTGCTGGGTTGGGTACTCTTTTTTCCTGGGCTAGATATTGTTGGGTCAGATCAACTTGGGTCTAAACAAGTGCCCTGGGCTTAGATTTGGGCAGGTAAAAGTGGAATTGGTTGGGTTTAGAGGCTGAACAGTTTCTGGGTCTTGATTGACTGGTTTTGGACTTGGATAATTTTGATCGAGTTAAAGGCTTATAAGTTATAACCAATCTTTAATACCCAGCAATCAGTGGTGCTCTTCTTCACTGCAACTGGTTTGCAAGGCAAACCCTACCCACAATATTCAGGCATGCCAACAGTGATGAGAAAGTGACGAAAACTGTAGAACTCCGGCGAATCAAGGCAGAGACGACAATAAGTTTCTCTTCTTGCAGAGGAGGATGAAGCCACACCCCAAGTCAGAATTCTTGGTCTCTTAGAAGACGTTATGTTCCTCTTTAAAGGGCCGTGTAGCTATATCTCGACAACGAAACCAACAGCAACAAAGATGGTGAGAACCAACGACTGTAATGATGGAGGAAAAGTGATTTTTTGTGAATGTTTGCAAAAACGCATACAATGTAGCAGTGGCAATATTAAGAAGCAGCAGCAAACAAAAGACAATGAAAAGAAAATGGCGATAATGGACCAAAGTTAGAATCTAATACCAAATTGATGCAAGACAGAAGAGGCAAAATTCAAGAAAATAAAAGAAAAAGAAAGGATAAGAAGAGATATCAAACCCTCGCAAGAATTAGGTCAAGAAAGACACAAATTCTTCACTCTTTAATAATAGGGATTATATCAATATTTATAGGCTAAGTCTACTACCAAAATAAAAAACTACTCTCCTAAAAAGTTTCATAATCAAATTCTCAAATTCTTATTCTATTAAAACTCTAGTAATTCCCTAATAAAACTCTCACTAATACTCCTTGTCAAACAAGTACGGTTCCTTCTAATCCTACAAAACGTCCGAAAAAACCTGCTACGGAACCACCGAGCTGGGGTAAAAATACGATAACTATATACATAATGTCAAGTCCTAAATTAAATAATAATAAAACTAATTGTAATGAACTACCAATTACACTTCCCTTTGGACCAAAAATTTCTAATCTTTCGCCTAGACTTCCAAAGTCGATTGTATTGGTTAACCAATGGTTGCGGCATCACCAAATCACGAGTCGGCTAGTTTTGTTACATAAACTATAGTTTTGCTGCAAAATGAACTGGAACATGCTAGTCTCACCTAGGTCTTGTGCCTAACTCTAGGTTTGACTCCGAAGGACTCAAGTCTAGAGACACACTAACTTTGAGTGTCGAAGTTTTGCCACCATCAAAGTCTACCTTGCCTCGGCTCAGTAGATCTTCTTGAGCGCTTTATTATTACAATGAAGTCTTCTAACTTGAGTCTCATACTCGCTAGTCCATATGTTGTTACTTACT